CTATGTAAGTATTCTCTAAAGGATTCTTTTGAACTGGTTGATCATTTAGGTGATATTAATATCAAGGAAAAGACAATGTGTTCATTTGATGTAAATTCCTTGTTTACAAATGTACCCTTGAAAAAAACCATTAATATATTATGTGATTACATATCTGTAAACAATTTTCAATCATGTGTACCTGTAAAATTTCTTAAAGATTTACTATTATTATGTACTGACAAAGTTCAGTTCACTTTTGAAGGTGAATACCTTCGTCAGATTGATGGGGTTGCTATGGGTAGTCCATTATTAGCAGATGTGTTCATGGCACATGTTGAAAATCTGGCCGATGACCTAATCGGAAACATGTCACTTTATAAGAGATATGTGGACGATATCTTAGTTGTTTGTGAAAGAAAAGAGGATATGTACCGTTTATTAAATAAACTTAACATTCTCCAAAACCATATTAGTCTCTCATGTGAAGAGGAGAAAAACGATCAGCTTCCCTTATTAGATATACTTCTGAGTAGACGAGAAGATGGCTCAGTCAAGCGATCCATTTTTAGAAAACTAACGTGGACAGGTCAATACCTTAGTTATTATAGTTATTGCCCTGTGCAATACAAATCTGGTCTGATAAGGTGCCTGTTCAACAGGCTTGATCGTATTTGTACAAATGACGTCATTGATGATGATGTTAAGTTGCTAAATAAAACATTAATAAAAAATGGTTATCCTCTGAAATTCATAAACAGATGGGAAGTCCATGGTACAGTGAGACTTACTGTAGTCTTGGTAGAAACAAAGCCTGTCTACATCACCTTATCATTCAGAGGTGATTCAAATAGCCTTTTATTGAAACAACAACTTAAATCAGTCATCAATAAAACGTATTGCGCAGCAAAGGTCATCATCAAAGAAAGAACAAGGTGCATGCTTCATCCAAAACCTAAGACATTAAAACGATTGTGTCACATCCCACTGTGTTTACCAATTTAAAAGGAGGAGCAATCGTGATCTAAACATTAGGGTGTGTGAACATGTACCAAAATAGCTGCAGAAACAAATACAATCAAGTGACCCAATAAGAGCAGAGGATAAACATCCATCATCCTCTATTGCTAAACATATAATTAAAGGTCATATAGGTGTAAAAATAAATATGGTGATATGATGAGTATTCACGAATAAAACAATGAGAATATAAGACATAAGTAAAGGGGGGAATGCAGTAATAATAATAATAATAATAATAATAATAATAATAATAATAATAATAATAATAATAATAATAATAATTGGATAATCAAAATAATTAAGGCCAAGGTAACGATAACGATAAAACGTACTTCTTTTGTACGCGTAGTTCTGGTTTAAGCTCCTGGATGGTAAGAGCTTCGGCTATTTTTAACAGTTGGATACGAAGAAATCTGGGTAGATTTGAACGAATCATATAAACAACCTTAAATTCATTTTTTGGATCTGTGGAATGGTTACAGTCGATTAGGTGTTCAAGTATAGAACTCCTAACTGCTTTCCTTTCCCCCTTATGGAACCAAGCTGAAGTATGTTCCCGTATATGAGTTGAAAGCGAGTGCTGGCTACGGCCAATGTAACTTGCTCCACAAGAGCAGGTGAACTGGTAGATGAACATAGAGGCGACCAGATGCGGAAGCTTGTCTTTTATGGACACAGAAAATAAGTTCCTACTCGTGAAGGTTATTTGTAGTTTAACTGCATTAAATGTTCTTCTAATAGTTGTTGTTAGACGATTTTTGATTACGTCTGATGTTCGATCACCTTTAAATTCCAGACTTATATAAAGGTTTTTCTTCGTAACGGAGCAACTAGGTTTCTTGTCATAACTACTTTTATTCATATTCTTTTCTATGAACCGTTCTGGGTAACCATTTTCCGTCAGGGTTTTCTTGAGGAATTCAAGTTCTTCGTTAATGCATTCCTTACTGCATATCTGATGTATTCGATAACATAAAGAGTGGATGAGGTTTCTCTTTCTACTTAACGGAACCCAGCTATAGAAGTTGGTTAGCTGTCCATTCCATGTTTGTTTTCTAAAGATGGATCTTTTTAAAGAACCATTGCTCCTCATCAGACGTACATCGAGAAAATGAATTGATTGGTCCCGTTCCCTTTCTAACGTGAAGTCTATAGAAGGGTGGCATGAGTTAAATGTGTGTAAAATATCCTCTAAATCAATATTATTGTCACAAACGATAAACGTGTCGTCCATATATCTGACGTATAGGTGAAATTGACTTATCATTGAGCTTAGTTGGTCGTTTTCTAGTTTTGCCATGAAACAATCTGCTAAAATCGGACCCAATGGAGACCCCATTGCGATCCCATCCCTCTGTCTATATATTTCATTATTGAAACTAAACTGGACATTAAAAGTACAGCGTAACAATAGTTCTTTCAAGTGTTCAGTCGGCAAACCTAGATCTATGTTGTTGGAATCAATGTACTCACATATATAACATATCGTTTCGGTTAAAGGTACGCTAGTGAACAAAGAGTTAACGTCAAGCGATAACATGTGTTTTCCGGAAGTATTAACGTCCTTAATACGATCAATAAATTGAAAAGTATCATGAATAGAAAATTTAGATACTTGCCTTCTAACCGGTTCCAATATTTCCGCTAGCCATTTGGCGATTCTGTGGTATGGTGAATCGGACATATCCAAAATAGGTCGTAACGGTAAACCCGGCTTATGTACTTTCGGTAGTCCATATAAGCGCGGGATGATTGAACCCATGGGACGTATGTGATTATATAAATCTTGGGTTATTATCCCCTTATTCTTAAGAGTTTTAACAAAATCTGTTAGCTGTTCTTCGATTTGCAAAGTTTTATCAACTTCTTTAAGTTTGGAGAATTTAGTACCATCCTCTAGAATTAATTTCATTTTATCCAAATATTCTTGGCGGCCAAGTAGTACTACACCAGCTCCTTTGTCAGGTTTACTTAGGATTAAATCCTTATTTCCTTTCAGGAGTATTAGCTGATCCAAGTGGTTTTTAGTTAATAGGTTATTCTTACTACATTGTGCATTAACGTATCCATGACTGCAGTCCACTAATGTGGATTTAAAGTGCTGAAAATATTTTGGGGATGTTGGCACAAGATCATGAGTTTGATTTGATAGGTTTTCGAATTGTATTTGTGTATGAAGTCTACTAGTTTTGGAGGTGCTGTTACAGAACTTCGGACCCAATGATAAGGCCTGTATTTGGACTGGTGAAAGTTTACTAGAAGAATGATTAAATACATACTTTTCTGGATGTTCTGGAAACTTCTTAATCACGTCTACGTGTTGCAATGTTTCCAAGTGTTTAAGTTTAGCTTTTTGTGACTGTTTTTCCGTAACATTAGTAACATAGTCCTCAAATTGTTTACGTTCATCTAACGACAATTCAAACAAGGCGTGACTTCTTAGAGATATGTTGCGATCTAGTTCGACTTTTCGAGATTTGATAGCATCGATATAATTGAGTGCATGACGTTTGAGTGTTTTTGCATTGGGATGAATGTGGATTCGCCTTAGTGCCTTCCAGAAACGTTTAGGATAATCATTATTTTCGATACAGCTTTCGAGAAAATTGATCTCACATTTCACTAACGCAAGCTTGACGGTGTAACGTTAGAATCCATTGAACCCTTTCATCGTCATAAGGTCCTTGCATTTCTTCAATTGACAAATAGTTCCCATTTAAACATATAATTGAAACAGGCCGTAAGATTGATCTAAACTCGGCTTTTGTGGTGTTGTATAAAAGTGTAAAACGGCGTATACTAAGGCTTATTGAAGCCTTAGCCATACGAAAATTCAACCCCCCCCCCCTTTGTGTATTCAAAAACAGTTTGTTCTTACCTTAAACCTACCTTGGTAATATTGACTTATTATCCAGAGTGATCAGGTTTCGAATTGTGTTCACATTTTTATTATTATTACTCTTATTATTATACTTATCTCCTCTTACCCCATTTCCAGTCTAGTTGACCTTTTATATATATATGCTCTTAACTAGTATATGTGTGTTCAGATTGTTAGAAATGTACTGCGCTAATATATCACATAGTTCTGATAGTCTTCGTTCTCTCATTACATTATCGAAACTCATCAAAGTGACTGATTTCTTTAAAATACCCGATAAGATCTATTCTATCAGTCAGTCAGTCTTATGCAACGTAGAACTCAGTACATATGTGCACCGTACCGCATTATTAAACAGATGTTTGAGTAGTATCAGTAATAACTGTTAGTGGTAATTGAAAAGATTAAGCATAAATGTTATGATTGTAAAAATATATGGACTCATAGATAAAAGGCTTAAGAAACTGTGGCATTTGTATTAACTGATGGTTCCTTAGTACTTGATTGCGTGCTGATTACCAACTTCAAATATAATACGTTCATTTGTGCTCATGTAGTTCTACCTGCCTCAAATAATTATTAGTACATCAATTCCGATACTTCTAATTACCATGGAAACTTATAATCTAAAGGAAGACGGAGTCAATGCACCTGTATTACTGTGAGTGATTCTGAACCTTTTGGCCCGGTTCAGTTCAACAGTCAATGACCTCATGGAATGATGGCGTGTTTTCGTTTGGCTATCTATAGCTTTTTTTCCAACCCACCACATTACGTATCATGTAAATGATGCTTCGGAATCACAGATACCAAACACTGTATTTGAATACATTTAACAAACATTAACTAAACACTGATTGCACTAGTTATCCCGAAAGTTGCATCAGGATTCCGATCCTACTGGTCAGTCTGCCTATAGATTTATTTAATAAAGCGATACATAGAAAACATAAAACGATATTGCGGTGCCGAGTTGTGAAATTAGTTTAACCGTGACACACTGCTGTTATGAATGAATACATTACACTAATATTATTACACATCCACATAAAAAATAGTAAACCTCACTTAGTTGAAGAGACATAGAACAAGGTGACTAATGTGGAAAGTACATTACCTGCAGTGTAAAGAGTTGTTTTTTATTCTGAACAATTGCTTCATACAGTGTCCTGTTTGTAGATGAAATGTTTGTTTCACGTCCGAACGTTTGCAATTCATCCAAAATCGAATTAATAGTTACGAGATTCTCTCTAATTCTAGTTTGGTAACCATCTAGTTTTTCTCGACAAGATTTCGTATTATTGATTCCTTTACTAATGTTTTCAATTTCAACAATCAGTTCTTTTGTTTTCGTATCCAATGATACAATGGTCTCTAACTTGTGATTAACTGACAGACGTGACATCTAAAAGAATTTAAATCAAAACTTGTTACCGCGGCAACCACCTTACAAAGATTTGTTAGAAATGGAATCGAATGCACACACTCAAACGCAAGTAATTCGCCAGTACAAAGTTATTTGTAACAGTCACGGGTGTAATTCGTTAATGGAGAATCTCACTAATCATATATATCATTGTTTAATAACAAATAAATGTTAAATAAATTATTATGACGATTTTCATTTTTTAGTTTGTTCACTAGATACTTGAGTATGATTCAAGCTCGAAGTGTGAAGGCTAATGATACTATCCGGTGGCTGAAGTCGAAGCGGGCCTATCGGGATTCGAACCAAGGCTTAGTGGTTGGGAGCTGTATCCACTAACGACTAGGTCACCGTACCAGAGTAAATTACCAAAAACAGTGTTAAAGGAAAGTGTTATGTGAGGAATAGCTGTGGAACATGGCTATCCAAACTGGGGAAAAATTCAAGCATGACTTAGGTGAAAAGAACATTGAGTTATGCGTGTAATATCCAAAAATCAGAACAGTAAATGCTATTTGGATCACTATAGCCGACGTTATATATCACAGTAAAACCAACATAAAATACTTAATAAACATGCAAAAACAAAAATTTCGATAACTCAATGAGGAGACAGAGTTAATCTGAAAAATGTGATGTATTTGCGCCATACATACCGAATATTCTAGTCACACATATACTTACCAAGGCATTTTATATGAAATAAAAGTCAATTAAATGAAGGTCCAAGTAAGCAAAGTAACAAAAGAGAAAATTAACATCGTATAGAAAGAGTGAGGAATTGTCACAATACCATAAGTTATAAAATGGTTCAAGGATTACCAGAGTAAATTCAAGGTTGCGACTTGTTTTTGTACACACAAGGAAGTTTTAATTTACGAATACATGAGGCCTCTATAAACCAGAGAATTAGTCCTTAAAAATTTCCTCATTGTGCATGCCAAAATTTCTGATTTATTGACAGATGCTCAATTCGAAAATCCCTATGATCAAATGAACCCTCTGGTCGCAATAGCACTAGATAAGTGAAATTGGTTGATAATGTCCACCATTTTCACGGTTCTCAAATCAGATACAAGAGTATTTTGACTTCTAAACATTTCGCTGCTTTAAAAAACCTCCAAAGTAAATCAAACATCGTGATCCTCAAACGTGACAAAGGTTCTCGGGTTTTTGTTATTAATACATGTGACGATAAGGTAAAACTTTTATCTATACTTGGTTATCAGAGTAAGTTCTTAGAAGACGTTCCATCAAATATTAATGTTAGAAAATTGGAATACAGAGTACAGTCCAATCTACCGAAGCTCCTTAGGATGTCATAAACAAAAAAGATCTTAATATGCTGAAACCTTCCGGCCCTATTCTCTCGAATTTATATGGATTGTCTAAAATTCATAAACCCAATAATCCATTACATTATATATGTGTGGTTCACTTAAATATGAACTAGCAGATTGGCTAGTGAAGCTGCTAAACCTAATTCGTAATAAACTATGCGAGTTTTCTTTAAAAGATATATTTGAACTAATTGATCTTCTTGAGGACATTAATTAACATTATAATACTGAAGATAAGATTTTGCATTCTTTTGATGTAAACTTTCTTTTTACAAACGTACCGTTAACTAAGACTGTTGGTTTCCTTTGTAAGCATATATCTAATAATTCCCCTCTTTTCCTATTCGGTCAACACTTGAAGAAACTACTTTTATTATGTACTGCAAATGTTCAGTTCACGCGCGATGTCTTTGTTCTGCTGAATAAGCTTGATATAGGCAAATACACGGGGCAATGCAACCTAGGTTATTAAAGAACTTAGCTAACTTCGGTACGAACCGTTTAAGTACATGATTTAATCTATCCGTTACCCAGGGTCGTTTACCAAAAGACTGGAAGAATTCCATAGTAAGTCCTGTCTTCAAAACAGGTATGAAATCTAAACCTGAGAATTACCGACCCGTTAGCCTAACTAGTGTGGTTGTTAAAACCTTAGAAAACATTATTTGGAAGAAGCTATTTAATTACTTCGATGAAAACCGGATCCTTTCGAGGAAGCAACGTGGTTTTCGAATAGGTTACTCCTGTTGTAGTGGTAAATAAATCCCCAAAATAAATAGCTCTGAAGTTTTCGACATTGAACGCTGACCACATTTGTTTTAGTGGACATATCTTGCTGAAAGCGCATGGTCATGTATCTGCGCCAGATCACGAGTAGGAACGCCGTTCCCAACAACCCCTGCGACCGTTAGCCAGAATAGATCAGACGATCCTCGATACATTGATAGGCTATCAAATATATCTTAAAACCTCCTCGCTTCTGTCTTTTGATTTCACTTGGTGGGTACGATTCATATTAAAAGGTGTTACTGGTTAAAGCGTTGTCAAACTCCGAATACCTGTGGCATCTTCACTGTCTCACAAACTTATTAGTGGCTTGTGAACGCTGGTGCTCCCTTAAGGACCAAAAGTTACCCATAGACGTAGCCTAGATTGACTTCAGCAAAGCGTTTGACAAAGTTCCGCACAACCAGCTGTTACATAAGTTAAGAAATGTCGGGGTTGGGGCAATCTATTGATGTGTATAAAATACTTCCTAGTTGGGCGCCAACAAAGGGTACCGGTGAACTCAGTTTTCAAACTGGGAAATTGTACTTAGTGGAGTGCCCCAGGGTACAATTTTGAGGCCGATTTATTCCTCTTGTGTGTAAATGCTTTTCTTCGTCTACTGTCATCATTGTTCTTGCTATATGCTGATGATATCAAGATATGAAGAGCGATACGAAGTAAGGGTGATAGCTTAGAACTCCAAAATTACCTAAAGAAATTATCTGAATAGTTTCGAACCTGGTAGTTGCCGATAAATACTTCCAAGTGTATTGTGATTCATATCGGTCATCAAGGTATAGATAATAGTACATACACTGAGATATCTGTTGTCCAGACACACAATGACTTGCAAGTCATCGTTAGTCAAGACTTAAAGACTACTACACACTGCCGTGCAATAGCCGCCAAAGGTTTTAGAACTTAATGGTCAATACGTAGGGCCTTTTAAACACGTCGATGCGAAAAAGTTTCTGACTTTGTGTACAGTGTTCGTGTGTTGTAAACTTGAGTACTCCATACAAGCGGTTAGTTCCCGCCAAAAAAGAGTCAGTGAGCTTATGGAAAAGGTTCGGAGAAAATCAACTAAGATTATTCCCGGAACACCTAACTCCCGTATAAGGCTCGAATGGCCGAGCTTAATCTGTTCCCGTTGTCATATCGAAGAACTAGGAGAGACTTGATTACAGTTTTCAGATTTCGTTGAGATAAATTTGCCACAGATATGCCCTCATTTTTCACCTTCCAAAACAAAGAATTTACGAGGACTCCAAAATAGTTCAAAAGCCCAGGACAAATTACTTGTCAACTGACTATCGACTTTCCCATCGAATCATCAACGAGTGGAATTCACTACCTCAGCACGTGATTGAGGCTCCATCCATCGACTCTTTCGACAGGAAGTTGGATCAGCTGAGGAAGCATCATTGCCAGGACTATCAGGCCACCAAACCTCTCTTCCTTTCCAAACTGAAACCCACGTATTTCAATTTGTTACACACTTTTCGGCTAAAAGTTAAACATTGTTGGACTAAATATGTTGTCGACTGCGTATTCTAGTTGCTTTTTACAGAATAAGCCCATTTTGACGTGCGTTTCGGCGACAAATATGATGATGAAATTCGGGGAAACATATTATCCATCAATGGCCACCTGTTCCTCCGAGAAAGGTAGGAAATGGAATGGAATTACTGTGTTGGAGAGGCTCTAATTTATGGACGAGCCAATCAGAAGCGTTTGAGAGATTTCAAGGTCACGGTGCTAACTTCTGTGTTTAATGCCAATGTACGATCGGTTCACAGGGAATTTGTACAAAACGTAATGATTGAGCGGCTATAACAAATAAAACGGCGAGACTATAATTTGTGGACGAACCAATCAGGTACAAGATAATACATCTTGGATTTTAACGCGAAAGCCTTTCATCCATTTAAATAAATTTTTGGCATTATAGCTAATGTCAGTTCGTGATGAAAGCCCCATATATAATTTCCAACTAAGGCAAATTACGACAATTATTGCGAACTGGATAATAAAAGCACCAGTAACACCGGCTGCAGCCAGGTACTACAATATACACGGACGGTTGAAGAGCGTACAGACTCCTACAAGTGGTATTTTGTGTACTTAACAACCGGAGTGCACATAAACAATATTGAAGCTACGTGGTCGAGACTGAAAGCGTTTTTGAGACTTTATCATGGCTGCAGAGGCCGGCTATTCCATAGCCATACAGGTGATTTTCTCTACTGCATGCATTACGGTTTTAGAACCTCTGAGCCTCTTTCTAACCTTGACAAGTTTTTGAACCCCGTATAAGAAGTGTATCCATTTTATTCCCTTGGTTTTGTATAACATATTTTTACTCTATACTGACTGCTTGCTGACTGGCTAATATTTCTCAAGCTTACTTAAGATTCGTTCAAAGGTCGTCCACAAGTTATAGTCTCGCCTAGGTTGGTTTACTGGGAGATTTGGTTTGAATAAGTCAAACTGTGGCTCATATATAGGGAAATTATGGGCATTTACATCATATTCTCTGGATAAAATCTGAAAGTCATATCGTGCTCACTAACTAAAGAGCCACAATCCGCTAAAACCAGTCAAAGACACAGCAGCACTCTTTATTGGTGGTTGCGCACTTGAAGGTTAGTTAAGAAAGTCACTTAAACGTTTCAATCTATATGAACGGCAAATTTAAAACAATTTCACACTTCATAAGTCAATTCAATGAATTTCCATAGCTTTTATATGATAAAGTGGTTTTTGCTTAAATCATTAAGTATTTGTTGCATCAAAAGCATATTCGGTCTACTTTGACTCGAATAATTACGGTTAAAGTTTGACAGCTTCTTAAAATCCGTTTTGAGGCACTCCTTTTTTAGTTGGTGCTCATACTAGTTAATATCTTGTGTATATTATTGAATGTTTTCTCATTAAATCTGTTTAAAGTGGTCGGCTGCACCTACGAGTGTGGATAACCAAATCGTTTCTCCCCTGTAGGGGAAGAAATGGTATGCAATGAGTGTTGTAGATTGATAGCGTGGATTATCCGTGTTCAATGAATGGGGCATACTCGAGTTAAACGGGAATGGTATGACAAACTATATAACATCGAAGTCACACCTCACGGTTAGTAACTAGCGTAAATGATCCTTTCATCTTATCCAGGCACCATGGTCACCCTGATGGCCGTACAGCGCAAAAAGACGTTATTAAAAAAGCGTATTAGTAAGAATAGGGGTAGGGAACAGAATAAGATCACTGCTGTATGAACCGATTCATGTGCCTGATGATTGTTAATTGTCACTGACTTTGATGTGGGTAGTTGAACTGCTTAATACTCACTGACCTGACTCTCGGATGATTTGTCTAGGGTCAAGTGACGTTCCGCTGACCACACAGTACCAAAAGTGGTTCTATCAGCTGATTGCCCGTCTACTTTCCCACCGCTTGCAGAAGATGCTCCGAGCCTAACTACCATTGGCTTCGCATGTTTTGCTCTTTGAGTGATACATTGCTGGTGAAGAAGACGGCGGGTCTTTTGACATTGACCAAGAAGAAAGTTGATGATGTCTGTATTAGTAACATGAATACTGGCAGCGAAAAATGCGCCAGCGTAGTATGTGCTGTCAATGAGCCAGTGTAGTGTATGAAGACCTAAGTAAAAACGTCATTGTCCATAGCAGTCCCAATGTCACTGTCCCGATTGAGGAGAAGTGGAAGGCAATGCTGAGACAATGAAAAAAGACACGATCAACATAGGCTTAGTTGGTAAGCCTTTTACAGGACTCCATTTTGAGTCATGAAATACACCGTCAAGGCACGTTTGTACGTAACCCTAGTGTGGCTAGGTAAAAACTTAATGTCATACAATATTATTGCGAATAATTTGGCAGGACTAAATAACCATGAAAATTAGACTCCCGCGTGCTTTGTACAAAGTTACAGGATTTATTCGTAGCATCTTACCAGATAAATATTTAGCAGCTCATATAAAAATGTTAAGAATGAATAAGAGGACTGAAAAAGTAATCGACTTAGATCACATAGACTCCTCAGGGTAATCCTAGGGTCGGCAAAACAATAAAATCACTTGTCAACTAGTGCTCGAAGTTACAATAAGACCAACATTCGACTAAGACCTGATATGTCTGTAAAAGAAAGAATAAAAAGGAAGATTTCGACTAGACAAATGTTCTCACAGCGCCAGCAAATCGCTACCATGATGTCTTTTAATTCATGTTTAGTGCTTGGCGGATAAAAAGAAATAATACAACAACTGGTAGAGTAGATTTTGAAAAGAAATAAGCCTGTGATTTTGGAGTTAATGTTGTCAATATTAGCAGATAAATGGCGATTTCTTTACGACAGTTGCAGTTAATATTACAGCAGCATCAGCAGTAAATGTTAGCTGCTCAACAGCAACTCCTGGAAAATGTTTTGGTAAAAATATTTATTCAACGAGATATCCCAGAACATAAAAAAATAAAGAATCTATTTATGATGCAGACAATGGTGCAGTTATGGACATTTCAGAAGCATATTCTGTGGAGGGTTCAAATCCCTTTATACCTGACGCAAAATGTAATATTGGTAAACTGTCCAGCTCGTAGCAAAACAATATCTTGCCAAATGCACAAGAAATTGTGACAATATCAAATGATCAAAAAAACAAATCCAGTGGATGAAGCCTAGAGTCCAGAACTAAATGAAACACCATTGGCCCTGTCTAACTCGGAAAATAAACTTCAGCTAGAACAAAATTATGGTCCATGTGATATTATTCGAGAAAGCTGTGTGGACTCATATCCAGAAAATAACTGGAGCAGTACGATAAATCCAGTTGTTCCATATGGCACGCAAAACATTGGGAGACAAAATTTTATATTGAACCAACTTATCCGATCTCTCATGACAATGTACTAGATATGGGTTCTCATAATAATGCACATAGTTTCGGCGAAATTTCTTATAAAAATGAGAAAGATATGTCGGCCGAATCAAGTTATAATCAAAAATCTAACCCACTTTTGTTAGATGTTGATTTTCCTAGGAACCTAGAATCCACTAATCAGATTCGTAATGAATTTGAAGAAAGTGTTCCAAGAAAACCAAATCCTGATTACCTCAAATCAAATGGCCATCTAGCCATTTCTACTAGATCTGTGGAGCCCCTTACTTCGTCGTCATTTAGATCGGACGGTGTTTGTTGACGGTCTCTCCACTGTAGTTACCCGGGATCTGACTCCAAGTTGATCGTATGAAATATATATATCGCTTATCCTCGTATGTAATCATC